GTCCTACACTTGTAGAACTAGTGACTTCTCTAATTCATAATTGAGAATGTTCTGGCATTCGTGACAAAAGAGATTAAACTCTAACTTGTGTTGGAAGTTGGCACAGAATACGATCGATGCTATAATAATACTAACAGTCAACAAGTTGCATTGGTGACCGTAAAAAGTCAAATGTAAAAGTCATTTTTGGACAAAGGGATTAACAAAGAGAAAAATGGCATTACCTGTAACGAGAGAATAACATTTACAGCATCATACAAGCCCTTGGTGTCTAATGGCTCCCCAACAACTTCTGGCGGTAATTTTAATAATGCAAGAGATGCCTGTTTTCAGAAGGAAGTAAAATTCATCCATCAGTAAACAGACAAATAATGTAATTTCAATATTGCCCCACTGGCCAACTTTTCTGGGAATATTATTAATAGTGACAAGAGTTAAACAATTTTTTTTACAAAGTTAAATACGGAATAGTAATTACTTTCAATCCCTCTGCAGTACAATCTGATATGGGCCATCCATGATCTGCAGTCGAGAAAGGCCAAGCTCCTTTAGAGATATGACGATACCAGCTGTCGAGATTTCCTGGGCAGTCATCTAATACCTTTGAATCAAATGAAATATTAAGAAAAGTATAAGAATTAAGATATGAGGGTCAAGTTTTGGCATGGTAAAAACCAATATTTGAAGATATTCCACCTGGGAGTTCTTTATGTATTCATGTGCTTTCCTCAAAGTTTTGCCATATTCTTTAACAAGGTCTGTAGAAATGATTGCTTGAACAGCAAATGCAGTGTCCCATAATTGGCTGCCATTATATCCCTGTATTATAATCTCAATTGTTTATTATATCATTACAAGAAGAGAAAATAGAAGCACAACTTCGTAAAAGAGTAAAAACTACGAGTAATAAAGTTTATGACAAGAAAGTGCTTTAAATTGCCATAAAAATACTAGTCACTTTAAAACAATTGAAGATCATTTGCAATATTTCTTGACCTGCACTTTCATGCCATCTTCGGCAACCCAAATGTAATCGTAGAGCCTTGGTAGATGCAGTTTGAAAGCTTCTGAATTAGGATCTTCAACCCAGCAGCAAAGCATATTTAATACCTGCACATGTGAAGAAAGAAAAACATTCCAAGCAAATTCTCTCAACACCCGTTACATTTTATGAAACCAGTAATCATAATAATTCTGACGATAATAGTGATCCGGGAAAACAAAATGACATCTACCAACGAGATATATGAGTTTCAATTCGATATCTTTTTCATATTTCCTACTTTTCAGGGGTTATAGCATATTCAGCCGCACATTGTTTGGCACTTAAAAAGTTAAATGTAGCACTAGAAACTTAGTTCTACTCATAAGAATGACTTAAGAAGTCATTTTTTAGTACAAAAAGAAGTTGCAAAAGCTTTTTTAAATAGCAATCTTTAGAAAATAGCAATGCTTAAAAATACTACGAGCTTTGACCACAGACACGCCTGAAGAAAATGAAAAGTGTGTAATTGAGATTTATTAAGATAAGAGAGAAATAATATGAACCACATATTGTTGAGTGATAATTTATGGGTGGGTTATAAAAAAAAATGGAAGATAATTTAGGGAAAGTGGGAGTATCTTTAATCACACCAATAATAAAACTATGAGCCTCCAAGTGCATTACATGTGAAGATATAACACAGGATATTAATAGCATCAGAAGTAAAAATAGAATAATCAACCATCCAGATTAACTAGATCAAAGAAAGCCATACACGTTCCTAGTCAAGAATCATATCACACCACTAAAGTCAACAATTAGTTCATTCAATATGAACACCACTATAGATCTTTGCCAAAGAATTCTATGCCTGTTATGCCATATAGTGAACCTTTTTTCCTTAAAATATGTTATGTTATATACGTATAATATTCTGACTTGTTTTAGGATTATTCTCTTTTTTGTTTCACCTTTCTTGTGAGTGGTGGCCTCTTAACTGTTGAACCACCATCTCATGACTTCTAAGTTCTAATGACTTCAATCATGCCTCCCACACTAGTAGAGCTTAAGAGCCAAACCTTGTTCACAGGGCCAATGCATATGTATCTAGTGTTTTCATCTTCGTAATGTATATGCTCCATTACAGTGCGAAGAGCTTTATCTCTCAACTTGTTCCCAGGCCAACACATCAAAAAAGGTTCAACAAGCTTATCAAGGGCTGCCCACAGTATGTCCTGTACTACAGGATGAGGGTAAAAGAGATCTTCCTGCAGAAAGTACAATGTAATTAATAGGTGTGAATAAAAAAACACTCCCTCTATCCCAAAAAACTTTACCCGCTTTCTCTTTTTGGACATACCAAATAAACTTCCCACTTTATTTGCTTTTTTGGTAATGAACATATTGCTCACAAGATTTCTCTTTCATCTAAACAAATTCTAATCATACACTTTTCACTTTTCAAAATTTTTTTAAAACTCTGTGGAAGTCAATTTAACTATAGTTTTTTGGGACGGAGGGAGTAGAAATTAAGATGAATCCCTTGCAACAGGGAAATAAGACTTTTTGTCTAACTCATGAACCATTGTCCATGTAATTGATGCAAATTGGACCACTTGAGTACATTGTATACCACATGATTACAAGAGGATTTATCCTTTGGCAAGTAACGGTCTGAATGGCTGATAATGTTGAGATCCTTTATTTAGTACTCCCGCCGTCCCAAAATAAGGTTCCACACTTGACCGGGCATAATTAATTAAAAGGAAAGTTTGTGGTTGAGTTTTGTGTTCAAGAATTTTGTGAACCACAAATTTCCTTCCTCAAAAGGAAAGAGGAACAATTGTGTGAACCATGCAATTCCTTACTCAAAACGAAAGAGGATGCCTCTTTTAAAACAAACAAAAAACAAAATGTGGAATCTTTTTAAGAATGAAGAGAGTAGAAGATTCTTGTTTTTCCATTTTTTACTTAAAAATTAGAAAAAAAATTAACATCCATTGTTTTACAGTTCCAAGGTCACTATTATAACTACTTATATCACTCTCACAAGATAACCTTTAAACTGAAAATAGGACAATAAATTTAGTTATTAATGGGTAAGGCGCAAAGCCTTTGGCGTAAGGAGCCTCAAATAATGTTCCTTCAAAATGCCCATTTTTGATAAAGCAAACCGCTAGGCTAAACAAGAACATTGAGTATAAGATACAAGAAGCAAGCACATTGCGCAAACATCGAGCTATCAGATTCTTGTTCTTAAATAATCAGTCAAGATGGGGACATGGGGTATTATAGATTCTATAGAATCATGCGGAAATAAAAACAATTAACAGTCAAAGTTTGTAGTCAGCTAGCAACAAGTGAGCACAACAACAGAAACAAACCCAGTAAATCCCAACTCTGTTGGTGCCTGGGGATTCGAGAAGTACACAACCTTTCCCCTCGTAAAAAAAAGAGAGGTTTCCGTTAGAACTTGATGCATTGCTACATTTACTGTCCAAAGTCTCATAAAAAATAAAAAACAGAAGTTTAGTGTCCTTTTGATTTAATCAATTAGTTACCGGAAGCTAAAACAATGTCAAAATTGTTCTTTCAACTCCATTGGCAATGAACGCTAGTCACTAAGAGCACCGGAATTACAAATGGGCAAATTAGCAAGAATAAATTCTAAGCACTAATGGAAGATTTGAGTAAATGCTTAACAAACCTTTGCACATTGGTTTCGTGCCTGGTCCCAGTTAATTTCATGATAAGGGATTGGGAACAGCTCCTTCCTCAAAGATAAAACTGTTGGTGTAACTGGACCAACAAATCTTTTACCATACAAGTAGGACATAGGCAGATAAACCATCCTACAGTGGCACCACATTCTTCCTGTAAAATTAGTGGAAACGTTTATTCTAACAACACAAAACTCATATATTTATGTAACTCCTAGCAATTATCCCTAGCGTGTTCCGAGATGTGCATGTAGGCTTTACAATATCAATTTTGCAAGAACCATGACTACAACTATTTTTACTCATCACCATCTCGTGAATAACTTTCATGCAAGTGGATGAAAGTCATGAAATGTATGATGATGATGGTTTTGGAAAAACTTTATTTCATTATTCCTTCTTTAGAAGGTTGCAACATGAAGGGCATCAACCATAAAATTTTGCCACTAATCCCATTATGCTTTTTTGCAGGAACTTAGCGTTAATTAATATGGAGAATTAAATGACACTATAGATTTCATGCTACCGACCCCAATGTAGTGGGCATCAAAGTGATGATGATGATAACATGACAGTATTTATTAAACAAATAACCACAGTCACGGAAGCTAATAGAAAAAACAACAATTTTCACTAAAGGTGCATGCCAAACAGTAAAAAATTGTGGCCATATCAATACAAGTATAAATCATTTGCAAGATAATGGACCATCATAAATATGGCAAAAATGGCCCATAAAGAAAAGTCGTTGCACTTTTCCATTGGTATCAATGACAATTACACAAAGAATGAACATTGTAGGAAAAACAAAGCAAATGAACCATCTCTTTCTTAATACATCAAGCCTCGAAGATTATTTTCTTTTTAAATTTGGAAACATGTGTTTATACTATCATCATTTTTACTTCACAGTTTTTCATATTTAGTGGTTCTTAAATATGTTGAGTAACAAGTACTTGCAATGAGCATGTAATGGACTAATGGATTGAAAGAGCATTTAGTTTACAGATATACAAAGGGGGGCAAAGAACAAATTGAAAAACTAATAAAATAGCAATTTTGCAAGCAAACATATTGAGCAATAACCTGGATGGATTGGAAGAATATAGGGAAGAAGCCATATCTCTGGAGGAAGGGGGTTATTTCCAGACCATTCAAATACACCAAGCACCTAGTAGAACAAAGTCCAAATGTTATAATAGTAGTTGTACTAGAATAAAAGAGTAAACAAGAAAGAAAGTTGAAAATACTGAACTGAGAGCCACATTTTCCCCCACGATGTTATATAAGTAGCACCACCACGATCCAAAATCCATTTCTGACCCTTCTCCATTGCTCCACCTCCATCATTAGCTCCCTCTCCAAGCAGCCTTAAGGTAACATAGCTCAAAACAGAACCCAACATGGTACTATGGCTTTCAATATGCAAACCCCAGCCACCATCACTATTCTGTGATTCAATTAATACAATTATTACAATGAACAACTCATCGTTAAATGAAAAGGCCCCACAGAAATGCAGTTATCTTGAAGCCATTACACGATACTTGCCTGGTGATTGTAAAGATAACGGCACATCTCGCGTCTATGTTCTTTCGATAACACTGTATTCAATGCACCAGTGATAGAAAGAGCAATGACCTGTTCCATCAGGTTGGGATTTTAAAAAAAAGATCACGTTATAAACAGCTCACTCTTGCTCCCGACATAAGAGAATATCAACTTATGCATATATACACACACATACATTGTGTTCTTTTTATTGGGATTATACACACACACACACACACATATTCTCACCATAGGAACTACATAAGATTGTCTCTATAGAATCAACAACTATGCACCTTCAAATAAATAACAAAAAAAAGTATGCACTGACCAAACCCGGCATTAGAAACATTGGACCTCCATAATCTCCTGGCCAATGACCATCATCAGCTTGTATACTTGAGTAGAAAGTCAATGCTCTTTTCAGGGTAGTAGTTACTTTATCTCTCGTAACATCTTCATTGTCCTTCATTGTTACTTGTGGTAACAGTGTACTTATGGGGTTCTCCTTAGCAAACTAAAATCAAAGAAAAAAAAGAAGGCTAGCGAATACGGAGTAGTAGAATACAAATTTAGAAAATGATTAAATTGTATACAAATACAGCCGAATCATTTATAACTGGTGTGTTCTAAAATGGTTAGCTCCGCGCAGGACCCCATCAAGAAGCTACACATTTGCTTAGCAGCTTACAATTTATCCATGCCTGCTGACTGGGGTAGGTCTATAGCTTTTTATACCATTGTTTACAACTTTGCAGGTTTAAAAGAAGAAGAAGAAGAAGAAGAAGAAGAAGAAGAAGAAGAAGAAGAAGAAGAAGAAGAAGAAGAAGAAGAAGAAGAAGAAGAAGAAGAAGAAGAAGAAGCAGAAGAAGAAGAAGAAGAAGAAGAAGAAGA